TTAATTTCTTATAGAAAATAGTACTTAAGATTTAATTTTTTTTTTATTAATTTTTTTAAAGATAGTCTAGTTTTGTTGTCTTGGTTAGAGTGCAGTGTCATATCATAGCTTACTGCAGCCTCAGACCTTTGGCTCAAGCAATCCTCTTGCCTCAGCCTCCCGAGTAGCTAGGACTACAGGCACCATGCTCTGCTAATTTTTTCTGGTTTTGGTAGAGACAGTAGGGGGTTGTTACTCACTCTTTCTTAGTCTGGGTTTTAACTCTTGAGCTCAAGTGATCTCCCATCTCAATCTCCCGGAATGGTAGGATTACAAACGTGAGTCACCATACCTAGTCTCTTAGGGTTCATTCTTAGCATGACCATTTTTTAACTGTTTATTTATAGTGTTAGGACAGTTTTTTTTATTTGGGAACACTTAACAATATTTCCTTAAGTGAAAATATAGTACAGACAACTAAAGAACCTTTCATTTTTTTCCTACTTATTTTAAAGCACCAAACTTAAAAGATATTCTTGTCTTTTTTATTTTTCTTTTCATTTTGTTTTGTAATAGGAAAACCACTTTTTTTTCTTTTTTCTTCTCTTTTAATTGTTCGGGAATCATTGAGGGTAGAGAGAACCAGTCTTTTTGTTGAGTACTCAGGAAAAGTATAGGTCATTAAAATCTCTTATTTGAGCCAGGCGTTGTGGCAAGCGCCTGTAGTCCCAGCTACTCAGGAGGCTGAGACAAGAGAATCACCTAAGCTAGGAGTTGAAGGTTGCTGTGAGCTGTGTGACACTGCTACCATGGCACTCTACCGAGGGCAATAAAGTGAAACTCTATCTCTTAAAAAAAAACTCTCATTTGGTTGGTTGTCAGGAGATTAAGCTTGCCTTTTTAGTAATGTATTTTTACATTGTAACTAAAAAATAGGAGTGAGCTGCTCTGAAAGTCTACTTTCTGTTAAGAGCCCTTGTTATGTCTGTCCTGTCTCACTTCATGTGTATTTTTCCTCTAATTGTGCTCCACATTGGTAATTTATGATTATTTTAGTTTTACATCAGCATTATATAGTTTTTAAATAGTCTCCACTTTTACTAAGTCTTAATTTAGAAACCAATTTTTAAAAAGCTAAAGAAAATAAGAAAAATAAATAGTTCCTTCTTGAGGATCATTTCTGTGTTCAATAAATATTTACATATATATCCTGTCTTTTTTTTTCTTTTTATTGAGACAAGAGTCTCATTTTGTGGCCCTTAGTAGAGTGCTGTGGCATCATAGCTCCACAGCAACTTCCAACTCTTGGGTTTAAGCAATTCTCTTGCCTTAGCCTCCCAAGTAGCTGGGACTACAGGCGCCTGCTGCAATGCCCGGCTTTTTTTTTTTTTTTTTTTTTTTTTTTTTTTTGGTAGAGACAGGGGTCTCACTTTGGCTCAGGTTGGTTTTGAATCTCTTGAACCTCTGAGCTCA